ACCAAGCCCGGGGACAGCTCAGCTTCAGAACACCTCTTCCCAACCTGACTGATACTGCTGTCACAGTCCCTGGGATGTTTCAGCTCGTGTTTCCCTCCCCTCACGTGTGAAGGCATCACGATGGCTGTCTGAGTCCTGCAGTTAATATGGGTGCACAGGTCCATAATGGTACATTGTAAGTGAATGTCTCAGGGTAGGCAGCAATAATAATTAGCTGTCATGATTTGAAAAAAGGATAATCCATGCCATTGAGTTAACAGTCACTCACACAACACACATGGATTTAACTAATCTTAATTTGGAGAAAAATAACAATTCTAAATATATCAAATAGCCCATTTCATGGCAACCTGCAGCGGTGTTTATCTCTGGTTTCCAGCACATGCGAGTTATTTAGTTTCTCTCACTGGCAGTTTTACCATTCAAAAGCCTGAAATGAACATTCATGGAGCAGGGGTTGCAGTTAAATCCTGCCTCTGACAGGGAGCCTTTTTTCATGATGTACATCTAGTACAATGTATGGAGCCCAGCACTGGTAGCTGGGACCGGATGAATGAGGAATTCCAATCAACCCCCTCCCCTTTCCTAGCACTGTCTTTGCAAAAATTAGCTCACCATCTTAATGAACCTCTGCTGCTGCTGTAGTTATATGTTTGTGAGGGTCTGCTGGCCTGAAAGTGCAGACCTGCCCGTGAATCTGGAGGAGGTCTGGTCCAAGTGGTGCCTGCCCTACAGAGGCTCCAGCCCCTTTGCTGGGGTTCTATGAAACCACTCATCATTAAAATCAAGTTGACTGGTACTTTTTTTTTTAAATCTGGGTCGTTTCAAAGAATCCTACTAACAAATAGACCACAGAGCCATGGGGAGGAGATGAGATACCATCAGTCAAATGACAGTGAGAGCACCTTCCCAGGTTATTCTTCAGCCAGGACAGGTCACCTGGTTATGTCCAAGATCTGATAAATATGAAAGATAAAAAGAAGTATAAAATACAACAGTGGTCTATTTTTTTCCAAGATACCTGCCAGCAGTGAAATAAAAGAAGCAGCGACCGATAACTGCTCGCCAACTCATTGGCCTGGTTATGTTTTGCTGTGCAACAATCTGGTACATCTCTTCAATACGATCACGCCCTCTGTACAGGAGGCAGAACTGATTTTCAAACAGGTCAGCCAATAGCAAAAAAAGAAAAATAAAACTTGTACAGGGCAGACTGCTCCTAAGCGAGTCACCTCCTCCCAGTGCCAGCTAACATGCTACCGCACATCTTACGGACAGTGGTAACTAAATGAAAACACCTTCAGAACTTGGATTTGCAAGTTACCAGTCAGGGAAAGATGACAGATTTCATTATCAGAAGATCTTTAAAAGCTGATTGCAGAGACAAAGTTGCCTTTGTTTCTGCTGGAATATAGAAATGTGTGTCAGAGACTTGTGTTGCATACATAAAAATTCTCGTGGACTCCTGAGTTCTGCCTCAACGTGTCCCTCAAAGCAGCTTAAGGACTATTGTGTGGTCAAGAGTCATTCAGTGACTTGGGCAAGAAGAGCTACCAAGAAAGTAAAAAAAAAGACAAAAAGAAAGAGAGGAGGAAAGATCAGGTGTACCCTGTGCCAGGATGAATACTCAGCGCGGTTTCTGCATCCCAATATCCTCAGACCCAGAGCTACAAGATGTACAATGGCAGAGCCAAGCTCAGCACTTGACATGCCCTCAGAGCATTCAGCCATGGGAAGCTGTAAGGTTTGGTGGCTTAGTCACACCACAGAAGGCTGTACAATTCATTCTGACCAAATAAGAAGGTCTACAAAAATAACACAGGATCAAGGAGAGGAGCTGAAACCTCTTCGAGGACAGCAGTGGCGGCAGCATATTTCAGGGAGCCAGAGTGGCGAGTGGGTGATTTCTGGTTTCCCTCTTCAAATATAAAGACTCAATTATCTTTGAACAGCTTGCTTTACACATGAATTGACACATTTATTTTACAATAAATAACTGAAAGTTATCTATGTTTCCTTTACTGTTAATCTACACAAAGAAATAATAAACAGAGCTTGTCTACAAAAATGCAACTACTGCAGTCCTCAGAATTCAATTAAGCTAAAATAATTAATGCTTCCACCATATTAAATTACTTTATACATTTGAGCCACTGAAGTTTTTTTTTTTATTATTCTTTAATCTTTTTCGCCTTTTTATTTAATAAAAAAAAAGTTAGTTTCAAAGGGGGGGGCTGGCTAGGAGGGGGAAAAAGAACACGATTTGCTGTTAAAATGTAATGGTCTCCTTTAGCTGACACAGCATGTAGAGTGTTTTGTGCCTTTGATTAAAATAACATTTTAAATGCTTTGAACAAACATATCTCCCCATACTTCTAAGGGATTATTTTACATATTTCTTGGTGGAATAAAGAAATTCATTCTTCCTGTCGCAGTACAGAAAGGCTAAGAATATCTTTCGTCACATATAAAGTAAAAATACTGTAGGCTGTTGCATTATTACAAAAAAAAAAAATAAAGGGAGGGGGTGGCAGGGTAGGAGAAAGCTGCCTTAGAGATTAAGTTTCCCTTTTATGAAATCGTATTTAGTCTCTTTTTTTAACAAATCTAACAACAATGCTCTACAGCCGCTCACTGGGAAATACCTTTAATGTTAAATGCAGATTCTGATTTTCTTGGCTAATGCAGAAAGCCTTTCTATTGAAATATAAATAAGGGGTTTGGTATATCCCACTAAAGCCTTTCCAGTGAATGACTTCTGTGGGTTTTTCATGGCTACCCTCCATGGCTGTAATGTGAGGCTTTTATCCTACTATTGAAAACTATCCGCTGCTATTAAAAAAAAATATGGAAGGACACTGCACCTTTTTATCTCAGAGCTGGGCTCCTAATTGAGAAAGTATTATTACGACACTGTTTTGTGGATGTCCCTATCTCCGTGCACTGCTGAGAAAATGCCAATCAAATGATAAACCCTTTTATTTTTCTCAATTCAGAATCTTTCCTACATATTTTTCATTTGATATTCAGTTTAGTCTGAAAGAGATTAGGTGCTCCAGACTGGCTTTTAATTTTTTTATGCCTTTTCCACATGTGAACATCTCCTTCACGACCTCCTACCCCAGCAGATTTTCTGCATAGCAAAAGCATTGGTTATGCTGTTGTTGACCCCCAGAACCTGGGATGGGACAGCACACTCTGGCAGCTCTGGGAGTAGCCATTGAGATACTATGGACTGAACTTGGGCAGAAATTAGTAAGAGATGAGCTCTGGGCTACAAGTGCAACAGAGCTCTCCTAAACCAACCTTAATAAGCGCTGCACACCCTCTGCAAGGGGCTGAGGGCCATCAGCTTGCACAGAGCTCAGCAGCTATTGGGAGTGCCCAGCACCGTTCAGGCAGCCTTCAGCAGACTAAGGAACATCCTGAATATTTCTCTTCTGCTCCTAACAAATGGAAAGGAAATCTAGCATTCAAATCTGCTACACCATGATGTAGTCATCTCTACCAATAAATGTATTCACAACTGCAAAAGGATGAGGAAAGCTGAAATAGGATGAGGAAAAGACAGAGTCAGATCTTACGGTAGGTTTGTTTACAATGCTACAGCACAGGTCTGCCACAGCTAATGCTCCCAAAGCTACCAGCTGCCCCATGTCAAGGTGGTGGCTGCACCCAAAAAAAGATTCCTGGAAGAAAACAGTGTAGTCAATGGGCATTGTATGCCCTGTCCTAAAAGAAAGGAAGTCTGAAGACCACAGCATTTTAAAGCCCACACCCTCACTGAAGTGATGCCCAAGCCTGTCAGAGATGCTGGGGACTGGATCAGAGACCTCCAGCACTAAAAGTGGAAAACTCTTAAGCTTCAATTGTAAAGATAGGAGCCTCTCACTAGTCTTCTGGGGATCCCCTCATGGGAAAATCTCTACCATAGGCGGGATCCTGGACTGTCAGATCTAATCCCATAGGACAATTCCTAGAGACATCGGGGTAGTGGCAGCAAAGACAAATTGTCACTGGTCTTCTGTATGGGATGCAGTCAGTTTGAACAAAAAAGGCCTGTTTGAGGGGAGATCCTGCTGTGTAACATAAAACCCCCACTCACTAGCAGGGAGGAGAGTCATCCTTTCACCACTGCAGAGGGGAAAAACACCCTGCTTGATGGAAGCAACCCCATGCCAGGCACTCTGCAGGAACCTCTGCATACCACCTCACCTAGGTGGATAATCATCACCTGCCTGCCCACATCTGAGCGGGGGAGGTCCACTGAATGAACGTTAACTTCACCACATATGAGAGTTTTAGAAATAGAAATGCCTGCAATTTGCTCACCCAGGCCAGCCTGTGCTCTTGTATCCTCATTCAGAAGATCTATTTGGGGTGTGCATGAGAGTGGAGGTGTTGCCCACCCACCCCAAGCCATCTAAGGAAACCCAGAACGGGCAGCACAGGCAGCAGTGCAGGCCAGGAAGCTGACATCTACCCCAGGGAAGGAAAAATAAAGGACATAATGAAGCCCTGCTTTAGCCATCACAAAAAAATCTTCTTCCCACTACAAGTCAGTGGGAAGAGGATTTTTCCAGTGACATCACTAGCGTCAGGATGCAGTCTTTCCCAGTGAGTCTGCACGTGAGAAAGGGTATCTGGAACAGGACTGAACTGAGCACCTTACCAAAGACTCCTATCCCTCTGCCACTGCTACTTGCTTAAGGATGCTCCTGAAATGTTTTCTAACCCCAACTTTCTGCTTTTTCGCAGATGTACAGGCTCCCCCTTAGCTCTCCAGGCTGCCTGAGAGGCCCCTTTCTCCCACAGTTGGCCCTGCACAGACAGCTACAATGAATTAAACAGGGATGGACAACCCTGTAGAGCCATGAGGATCCTCCAGATGGACGGCTCCTATAAAGACGTGTTGCTGAAGCCTGTTTCATGGCACTTTCTAGAGGACTCTAGTTAAAAGATTACCTAGGCAAGTTGACTGAGTGTAAAACGTGCTGTACCTGCAATGTTCTCCTGCTTGGGGCAAATTCCTTTTGTAGGCGTGAGAAGACGGTCTTCTTCATCGGGTGTGACTTGGATCCCGATTTCCACTGGCTCTGACACTTTCCTGAGCTCGGCGCGTGAGGAGGGGGGAGGGCTGCTCTTATCCATGCTCTTTTCATAGCAGACACCACCAGTGCCATTGCACTGTTTTCTCTTGTGCTCTATAAAAACCAAGATGTCTCCCAGCGGGAAGTTCATCTGACACTGTCCACAGGTTAACAAGTCGGGGTCTGTCCCGCCTGCGGCGATGCTGATGCCGCCTGGGTCTGCTATTGCCAGGCTCTCGTCCTCGTCGGCCAGTGCCGGTTCCACATGGTCAGCCTCTGCTTTGCATGGACAAGGAGAAAGAGGGAGGAAAGGGACGAGGGGAAAAGAGAAAGAGATTGCTTTGAGTGTTTGAGACTCTGAAGGATGCATCACCAGAGGCCCAGCCTCCCCCTACCCCCCCTCAAAGGAGCCAAGCCTGATTAGATCTTTCTTTTATTTTTCAGCTTTTCCGCTCTCCCAGAATGATTTCAATATATTTTGCAACCAAGCCTGCCTGAAACAAAATGGAAAGGCTGACCTGGCATAGCTTTCTTGACAGCTCCTTCCCACTGCTGCCAGCACTGCAAGGATATCAGCAAAGAGCCATTTTGCAAGCATTCGAGCCCCGAGTCACATTCTGAAATAGTTCCTCTCTTTTTATCCCACCTTCTCATTCCCTCCGCGTCTCCCAGCCATCTGGCCAAGGCCCCATCCAGCAAAGCTTATGCACCCAAGTTTTTCCTTCTTTTTCAGAGAGAGGGGGAAAGCTTTTATGCACCAAACTGGCAGGACCAGGCTCCCCATGTCATACAAAATTATTACACTACAGAGTTACAGGCAAGATTAAATTTTCACCCATTAGCAGAAATTACAAAAAAAACTGCTTGCAAGACTGGGATAAGCAGGGTATGGTCTCATGAGCAGTTAAGGGGTTTCAAAAGTGTGTACAGTGGGAAAGGGAATGAGGCACTTATTTAACATATTGGAATATTGGCTGAGCCTGAAATATTCCACTCTATTTTTCCAATGGCAAATAACCCTGCCATTGCTATATAGGCTAATAAAAGGGGGTTTTGTTTAAATCTTGTCCACGGACCTGTTGAATTTTCTACCTTTACCCCCAAACAGTGGGAAAGAACTTCTGAGTGACCTGAATCAGTTTCTAGGAAATATGCAACTTCTCATTTCACAATTAATAAAACCCAGTATGTTTTAAATCAGCATTTAGAGATCATTTTTACATTATAAAATAATTGTGGATCACAATCCATTTTTGGAGCAAAACATGTTTTTTGGTTTGTTTTCTCTTGTTCTGCCATGTAACTGCCAAATCATACAAACCTTGGACTTTACTCAGGCAAAATTTCCACTGACTTTTGCCTAAGGCTGGTTTGCTTCTGCAAGGACTATAGGATTTGGGCTGAACTAAACAGAGGAACTAACAGTATGTAAATCAGTGACTGAGACCACTAATCGAATCAGGATTAAAGGAATAGGAGGAAAAATGTTCTCTATTAGCCCAAGCAGTTTCCTCATGGATTTCCTGGGGAAAGTAAGTAACACAAATGTCTCAAAGAAGTAAGACTGTGATAGACAGAAGTTCTAATTCAGACCTGGACTCTTCTCCATTCTGAAAACAAAAGGATTTTTGTCCCACTCTTCAGCAATTGCAAAAAAAAAAAAAAAAAAAAAAAAAGAAAAAAACAACAACGAACACATAGAAAAAGGGCAAGAGGTAGAAAGTGGAATGCATTGCCTGGCAACAAAAATGGTTAAGCCTTGAAAAAAAGGTAGTTTAGAAAAAGAATCGCTCCCATTTTTGCCTTCCAGAATAAATAACTGCTCAGCGTATCTACCAGCTGTATTACAAGTTGCATCAGAGCTCTCTAACAGCGAAGCAGAGCAGCAGCAGCAGCGCCAGTGCCAGCAGGAAAGGACAGGGACCCCAGAGAAGTGCCCAAGCATGGACCATCCTGCTGGAACCAACGATGGGCACAAGAAGGCTTATGTTTCCCAACTCACTCATTCTGAAAATCATTAATTACCTTTTCCCCTTAATCTAAGTTTAAAAGGAGTTTGAAGACAATACTGACCAATTAATTCCCCAATTTATATCATGAAAAGATGTCTCCTAGCCTTAGTGGAAATGTAACTATAACCCTGTGCTGAAAAGGCACTGCTGGGAAGGGAGCAGATACCTGCAAACAGTGTGTCACGATGCAAAAGGTAATTATTTAGTGCTGCAGTTCGCCTTTAATGATCTAACATTGAGCAATATTGTTTTTATTGAAGAGAGCTTGCACCTTTAATTACCAATTACATATACATCATTTTAGAGCCAAAAGAAAAGCACTGTGAAAAGGGTCTTTTAGAAATGTGCGTGCAATTTGTAGCCAGAATTCCTATTAAGGGGGAATACTGTGTCAAAATATTTTAAAAAACCGTACAGAGAGGCACTCACAGGCTCGAAGATACACAAGCGGGAGATGGGACAAAGAGCTGGAAAAGACAACACGAAAACAGGAACTGAACTAAGGGTTGTAAGAATAAAAGATGGCACAGGAGAAAAAAATGCTTGGTACTAGTTTCACTAACATTCCTGTAAAGCCTTTTGATTAAAGTCTGTGTCTTAAATTACAATGACTGAATTTTGGCATTTGTATATATGTAACAAATAAAAAGAAAAACACAGATCTCAACTTTATTATCTTTTTGATGTGAGGATTTTTATTGGGTTTTTTTGCCTGCGATTTAGATCGTGCTCTTCAGAAAATGTAGCAAAATTGCTGCAATTGATAAGGGTCCTGACCAGGCGCCTGTGGAAATATGAAGGAGGTTTGAACAGCTAAACTGTTACAAATTCTTTCTTTTCAGTTCTACACTTCATCTGAATATTAGTTAAATCCACATATGCCTATTCGCTTACACTCGCTCACTCTCTCTTTCCAAGGACTCCGCAATGGCACTTTTTTAAAATAACATCTGGTATTCCTTCATATTTTGGCAGTCGTCACATCACCAAAAATCAGCTTTTCGTTTTCTTGGTACGCCGAGCCCTCATGATCAGTAGTAATTGGGTTTCAAACTATCAAAAGATTTTTTTTTTTACTCAACTCTATTTCTGATTTGAGCTTAATAAATCATCAATCATGAGACCAGCTATTCACCCAACAATGCAGAAGCTATATTACATCCCCTTATTCACAACATGGAAAACAGACATAAAAGAATGAAAAACAAAATACTGAATAGATCTTCAAATGCATTTTATCCATGTCAATTTGCATTTATTTTTTTTACTCAGAATAAAAAAAAAAAAGAAAGAAAGAAAAGGCTTCCTATTGACAACTCAATTAAGCCATTAAAAACCTACATTCAAGTAACATTACAGGAGAGATTTAAAACCCACAAAGGGAAAGAGAAAAAAGCCTGCAAGTCCAGCCCATAACGCATCGGGTCATGCCTGGTTAATACAACAGCCAAGATCTTAGGCTGTTTAAGGAGCCCTTTAATACCAGTGGGGCAATTTAGGCCAGTCTCAATCTAAAGTTCTGACTCGGCTTGTGTCTGTGGGTTTAAAATGAGTCGCTTCACATTATTTGAATTTAACTCTGTGGTTTTATTGCTGTTGTTGGTAGATGGGTTTAGAGGTAGGAGGGTGTTTCTTCACAAGTATTTATTTAAAATTAATTTATACTTTTTAACAAGAAGAAATTAGGCGACACAAAATAGGAGAAGGGAAGACATCTCATGTCGCTTACATGAGAAAAGTGGAAAAAAAAAAGCAAATGAGCTATTTCCAGCCAGGACTCATGCCCTGGTTCTTTCAGGCGTGTTAAGGAGTGCCCAGTATTTTCCCTACATCCAGAGATTCCTACACAGAGGATTGCCTTGGCACTGCCTGCCTAGGGAGCACAGTGAATTGGCGACGGGCAATCTTTGGGGACATGAGTGACACAGTTGTTATATGATGGCTTTGTGAAATTAAAGCAACCAGACAATCCAAATCATTTGCTTTACTTAAAAAAGCATTATACTTGCTGACTGGACTCTAAGCAGCATCTCCAAGGTCTCTGGCTGCCTACCACACCAAAATACAGTGGGCAAACCCCTTAATTCCATAAAGGCACTGTCACAAAGCCACCAGCACTCCTACTCCAGCGTGGTGACATCATTAGAGCATATGTGCCCCATGCAAACAATGCTCTCATGCCCAGTATTAAAGTGAATACACATGCTAACTACTTTCTGCCTGTCAGTTGTCTCAAAATCTTACCCACTAATAGTGGAAAGGACTGTTTTGTTAAAAATCATTTCCAAGGCTTTAAAGGACAGAACCATGGAAGTTTGTTCACAGAGTTTGGGTGAGGCTGGGTCCAGACAGCGATCATTTATTTTCTTGTCTTTTTATTGCTCTGCAGAACCAGGGTAAGAAGGGATCTAGAAGTTGCCAATCTATTCTTTTCCTTATTTTTCTTGTTCTACAGTATCAAAATGAGGCAAAGGGGGCAGAGGAAATGTTTTGGTGTTGGGCCAAAGTGTTGCATGTGAAACTTCCCTGCCATGGCTGGTTTGCACACCAATCACTAACGGGGTGGTGAAGGTGAGTGTTGCCAGTGCCTTCACTGCTGAGGTGCCCTGCCTGCCCCAGCACCATGCCACAGCCACTGCCCACCCCTGTGCCCACCTGGGGGACAAGACACGGGCTACCCCAGGGACCACCCTTCGCTGGAACAAGCTGGGGGTGCCCAGAGTCCACCATGGGGACACAGTTGCCGGTGGTCAGGTACAGGATATTGCCTAAAAATGTGCTGCAGCACGTCGAGTGCGCTGTTCTCCTCACACTGTCACTGCTGTCTTGAAGGCACAGCCAGAGAGAGCTCAGCCTAGTTGGGGAGTGAGCACAAAGGACAGACTTGCTCTTCAGGGTGTTGGCCCAAAGCAGGCCTGAAAATGATGTCCCTTCAATCAACTCCCACATGTCACATTTACTGTAACATCGACATGCTTAACGGAAATAGCTCGAATCACACGCTCTCTGGCTGGGTTATCACCGAGATCGGTGTCAGGATCCTTGCTGCACAAAGACTAACGCTGCTCAAAGCGGGTGACACGGCTCCTTGCCGTCGAAGTTTATCAATAACCTGCTTCCAGAGCATCCCAGCAGCTCCCTGCAGCCACAAGGTGCAGAGTTGAGATTATGCCTACACATTGCACCAGCATCGCACTCAGCGGCACTGGGCACCAATTTTTAATTTTTCTGAAGACTGCAAAACAATTGTTTGTGGTATTTAATTTT